AGTTTATGCTGACAGCCTGACATGGTACAAAAGAAAAGTATGTGTGTATCATACACGACAGATATATTATCCAGAATTTAATTGCCCACAATTAAGGAAGCATATAACACACGAGTGAGTATCATACACGAATCAATTAGTCTTGTGTACATTGATCAATCGGAAGGGGAGCTAATTGGGATTGTTCACTAGCAAATATATTAGCAAATATCGCCATGGGCGCTTATTAGAGCGGGGCGCTTGTTACGTCAAATATGGTAATTGGATTTTAGCTCATTGTAGGCATTTCACATATTTTTTCTTTGGAAGAGGTTGGATCATTGTCTGGATGATATTTCTTGGGATAAAGTTGATAAATTAGTTATGAGAAAACCCCTACACTGTGTGATGTATGGTGAGTGCAAGTGAACTGATGCAGTGAGACGTGTTTTAGGAAATGAGACTGCTGGTAAACAATATTTGAATATACAAGGTAATAAATAACTTGTTCAGGACTCCTATTGGAACTCCCTGATCCAAGGTATAAAACTAAATGTATTGAGTACCGGTTACAAAGGACTTTCTTTGTAGTAGGCATGACATTTTGATATGAACAAACAGTCTGCGACTTTAGCCACTAGTCCAAAGCCCGAGTCCAGTAAAATTCAGTCAGGTCTGGTAAGATCAGTGAATAAAAGTCCGAATGATAACACTTAAATGGACAAAAATGATGCTAAGAGCCAAGTTTGTGGTAATAGTAGTTTAAAATTGCCAATTTAGAATGAAATATTTGACATGTTTGTAAAAAATAATACAAGGTAATGTCAAGATCCAAAATACAGAGTCAGTTGTCTCCCCTTAGCAGGCAACATAAGATTTTTATGCTCATTTCACAAATACCAGAGTGTTCCTTTTTTATTTTCCTTTTAATATTTTTGACTTTTAAAACACAAATTTCACATGTTGCATGATTTTCAGGATAAGTTGGCTTATGTGAAACGGGTGAGTATGTAGCAAGATTACACTAGTGCAGCAGTGTGTAGTCTAGCTGAAGCTGTAGAATCAGGGTAGACATTGTGACTAATTAGTGAGATTAAAAATTAAAAAACCCCGACACATTGGCAGTATATCATCATATCATGACTGGAATAAGCCATGCATTTATGATATGTAAAAAGCTGTCAATGACGGACGTTATAAAAACTGGAATATCACAGGTTTGTATTGAAAACTAGGAGTTGAATCAGAATGGTAGTAGTTCAATGATTACCATAGTGTATAACTGACATGTATTGTACTCCAATGACATAAGTTCCATGAGTTATTGACTCAGACTGCTTTTTAAGCCGTAACCTGCGTATTGAGCTTCTATCTCTGTACTGGTTCCATAGAAACTCACACTTTCTTACATTGTGGAACTCTTCCTTTTCGTGTTAACCTTCTGACATACTTGCTTTGAGATAGTTTAAAAGAATATAAATGAGCAGATTCTTTTACTAGGATTCTTTTGTGTGAGCGACGGAGTGAAGTACATAATCGTCATGTTATGTCATGGTGGGTGATAACACAGCAAGCAGTGTTGAATATTTTATTGTTAGCATGACTTTGTGTAGTGAAAGAAAGATCTCTCAATACAGGCTGTGAATGGTGCTTTGTATGTTAAACTAATATATGTTGCTAATCCAGGCAATCGGGACCGATATGAGGCAAACAGTGGCCATTATTACGAAGTGTAATTAAGTATCGATAAATCTGGCGGGTGAAGGACTGAGATTGTGTGGCAAGTTGTGGACGAGGTTAGCAACACTAATATTGCTGTGTAGTTACGTCGTGAGATTACTTGTGTGATTGGATATTTTAGTTGTTGGAACTCAATCTTGGTTTTCCCAAGGTGATCTGTCAATACCATTTCTTCTTTGTTGTTGTGCTGGATCTGTGAAATCTTTCTGATATGGGAGTTTTTATACACTCTGATTACAACAATGCATGTTAAACTTGTATTAAATAAACATGAATACATGTATCGGCATAGATTGTCGTGGGGATTAAGAATGTGTAATGTGAAATGGTCATGTACTGTAGCTCACCTGCATAACAGTTTATTAATTATTCAGTAGACAGGAATATTATGTGTGATCTTCAGTAGGACAATGCTTGTCGTAAGAGGCAACCAATGGGATCGGGTGGTCAGGCTCACTGACTTGGTTGATGCATGTCATCGTATCCAAATTGTGTGGATTGGTGCTCATGATGGGAATCACTGGATTGTCTGGTCCAGACTCGATTATTTACAGACCGCCATCAAATAGTTGGAATATTGCTGAGTGCGGCAACAAACAAACAAACAAACAATGTCAAGAAAGTATTGGGCAATGTATACTGAACAAAATACGTCAGGGATCATGAATATTTTTGTGGATATTTTATTGTATTAAAGACTGAGCACACTATTTTATAAAAATATCCTCAGAAACTCACATTCTACACAGTTCCAGGCTGATATTACACATACAAGCATAATAAGCTAAAATCAGGTAGCCAGCATCAGTTGTTATTGGTAAAATCTCGCACCAGCTCATTTGGGCATCAAGCCCTTGCCAAAGCTGGACCAGTTAGTGCTGTGGAACAACCTCTGATGTGTTAAAAAGCTATCTTCCTTTATGACTCAGACAGACATACCACTGAACCACCTGTCACAGCTGGTATTTGTGATAATTCAAAACTGTGTGCTGTGAAGTAAAAAATAAGACATCTTTTGTGCAAATAATGGAAAATATATGAACCTACGATTTGAGCCACTAGTCTGAAGCCAGAGTCTTGTTAAATTCTCAGCTGATAATAGTCCATATGATAACACTAAATTCTACTGAAAATTATGCTTAGCGCCATGTTCAGCCTTGTCGAATCAAAAGATTTTGTCACAGACTGTATGAGTGTATTGAGGACAGTCATATTCAAAGTTATTTTTTTGCAGTATATAATTGTGTGATTGGAAATGCATGAAACGTAAGTGTTATCAGACTTAAGTTTTTCATTTGACCATAAAAAGAATATTACTTTTCTCATTCATCCCTAATGCAGTCATATTTGAAGTGACTGAGAAAGCTCTTTTAGTCAGCAGAGAGCACTCTTGTACCTGCTTTATGCTCAATTAAACATTATGGCCTGTGGGTACTTTCCTACAGGGCACTCAGATAATTGACGTACTACCAATCCTCCCTGTACAAGTGCCGATCGGAGGGCGTATTTGTGTTAGTTATGTACAAATATATAGCTTGCTTGTGCGATGTGGCCTCTGACAGGGCAGGCAGCAGTAAATCTAGCATTGATCCAGGCTTGTTTATGGGTTTTCAGTGTGTCGCCAATAATTGGGCACCTCATGCTTGTGTTGCTCTCACCAGACCGGTGTACAGAGAGGACGTCTCGGGGCCTTGTAGGACGTGTCTTCATGTCCTAGTGAAGTCCAGAATAGGACATGGCTAACTCTTAAATACACTGATGGAATATACTAGTGGACACATAGCAACATAGTAGCAGATAGTTGAGTATTGTGTTCAACACACTGCTTTGTGTCAACAAGATATCACAGTTCTTTAAACCTCTGCTGTGGATATATAATAGATATAGCATTTAGACTGTAGTTTTGGGATTTATTTATTTCTACATTTGGTAGTGAAAAGTTTGAACAACCCATGCCTAGATTATTAACCACTAGTAATAGGTTGTTGACAACTCACTATTTAAGTAATTTTCATTGACATATATATTGTTGAGCGTGGTTTTAAGCTACAAACGTGTGTGTGTATGTGTGCGTGCGTCTATATGTGTGTATGCACGTCTATATGTGTGTGTTCGTGTGTATTCATGATTATATGAATTGAAGCAGAAAACAAGAGAAAAAATGTGATGAAAATTCTAAAAAAAAATAACACCCCACCCCACCCCCCAACAAACAAACATACAAAGAAACTAATGAGCATAAGGTAGACACTCTGTGTGTGGACTGTGTGTCATTACCAACATACTGTTGCTTGTTGGTCATGCTATCAACCACTGGTTAACCTGGTCCAGACACCATTATGTGCAGGCAGCCTTAATGTAACTGTTGTATTGTGTATAACAGTGTAAAACAACATTCACTGTCCTGGAGTCCTGCTGTTGATTGCTGGCTACATATTCAAGAAGGGAAACATACATTGCCATATTTCTTGGAAGTGGAATCAAGTCGATGGGTTCCGGTTGGGAATTACCAATCAATACTGCCAGAGTAGGTGTAGTGTAGGAAGGGGGAGTGGTCATCACCTCCATTAGCGGTCATCAGCGGTGTGATGAACGACCTCCTCTCACCGACCGCCACATAATTCATGGCCAACTCTGTGGCAGGTCGACAGCTAACTCACCTAATCACAGGCAGGGGGTATCTAAAACCGATTGCGTGTGCTTGATGATCTCCCAGTGTTATTCCCCATTCTTGGTTACAACCGGGTCAGTGTGACATACAGACAACATGACATACACAATATAACAGATGGTGACATACACAATATAACATACAGTGACATACACAATGTCACATACAGTGACATACACAATGTCACATACAGAGACATACACAATGTAACTGACAGTGACATACACAATATAACAGATGGTGACATACACAATATAACAGACAGTGACATACACAATGTCACATACAGTGATGTACACAATGTCACATACAGTGACATACACAATGTAACTGACAGTGACATACACAATTTAACAGACAGTGACATACAAAATATAACAGACAGTGACATACACAATATAACGTACAGTGACATACACAATATAACACACAGTGACATACAAAATGTCACAGTGATATACACAATGTCACAGACAGTGACATACACAATGTCACAGACAGTGACATACACAATGTAACAGACAGTGACATACACAATGTAACAGACATTATGACACACACAGTATGAAGACAAAGGTGTGCGGAGTGTGACAATGTGTTCTTGTTCCAGCCTCACGATGGTGCTGATGACCTGCTGAACGGCGAGAGGGCTCACCTGCTGAACAACAAGAAGACGCTGGAGGCTCAACTCAAGTCTGTGCAGGAACAGCTCCAGGTCAGTCTTGTCGAGGACCAGTTGGTGGCAGGATAGTCTTCGTAGTCGAGTCGCTTCCATGGTTAGGACCCTTGAAGATCTGGGTTAGAATTGCTCTTTAGCAACCAATGCTTGTCATAAGAGGCTACTAATGGGATCGGTGGTCAGGCTCACTGATTGGTTGATTGGTTGATTGGTTGATTGGTTTGATTTCATTGTATCCCAGATTATTTAGATCAATGTTCATGATTTCAATCACTGGATTGTCTGGTCCATACTCAATTTAATTACAGACCACTGTCATATAGCTGGAATATTGCTGAGTGTGGCATTAAACAAGAAACAAACAGAAGTGAGATATATTTCTAAATTAGAAAAAGGACAACAAGGTTGAAAATCGAATGCTGCATCCTATCATTAATCCTGCCATTGAGTTTGTGTGTTTATTGATTCAAGATTCAAGTTTGTTTTGCCCTGATTTGTGATGTTCTGGGCGAGGGATTGCGAGACAAAAGATCGTAACAGTTTCATGACTTGTAAATATATGATAAAGGAACTAGATTTACAGATTGTGTGTGTGCAGATAGAGCTGACCAGTTTAGAACATTCAGTTGTGTGTGTTGAGATTATTTACAAAAAGTAAATTAAATAGTCATTTCAAATTAGCAACCTGTGACCATTCACTCTATGCATTAATTGTGTGTAAGTGAGTGAACTGGTTCAATGCGGCTTTGTACAGTATTACAGTTATATCACAGCGTGTGAGCTTAATGTGGGTGCAAAGTCCCGAAGTGATGCAGGTCTTAGACATTTACCACTTTGATGAAACCCACGAGCATTGATATAATGCTGACAAACCTAGAAACATGAAATAATCATGTCGACCGGAGATGCCTATTTGATGTTTGCTATGTTAATGTGGTGTCAAGTTTCTTCATTCTTGCTCCAGATTTTGGACAAGGCCCGGAAGCACCTGTTTGCCACACTGCAGGAGCGTTCCCGTGTGCTGGATTTTCTGTGCCACGCACTATCGTTTAACAACGCCAACTCCAATCAAGATAGTCGCACCAAGAGCTCCACAGAGGGTCGGTTGTCTCGTCTGGACACTACTCGTCTTGGAGCCAGTCAAGCTGATCCCATCGGACCATACACGCCCGATGCCGACATTGCCCTCGCTGATGCTTTGGAAGCCCGATGTCGGTCAGGCTACCTCCGGCAGGAACTCCGGGAGACCATTGACAGAGTGGAGAGGCTACAGAAAGCAGCTCACAAGTCCGTCAACGATGGTCTCACTCAGAAAGTTGCTGAGACAGTAACGCTCAAGGTAGTTCATCTATATATGTTCTTGATTTCTGACTAAAACTAATGCTTGTTGTAAAGTATAATTTGGGTTGGTCCCGGGTGGGGATTATGAAACACGATGAGTGCCAAGGAACTATAGGGTGGTTTAGCAGGTAACTGAAACATGATTGGTCTCAGTGGGGATTATGAAACACGATGAGTGCCAAGGAACTATAGGGTGGTTTAGCAGGTAACTGAAACATGATTGGTCTCAGTGGGGATTATGAAACACGATGAGTGCCAAGGAACTATAGAGTGGTTTAGCAGGTAACTGAAACATGATTGGTCTCAGTGGGGATTATGAAACACGATGAGTGCCAAGGAACTATAGAGTGGTTTAGCAGGTAACTGAAACATGATTGGTCTCAGTGGGGATTATGAAACACGATGAGTGCCAAGGAACTATAGAGTGGTTTAGCAGGTAACTGAAACATGATTGGTCTCAGTGGGGATTATGAAACACGATGAGTGCCAAGGAACTATAGAGTGGTTTAGCAGGTAACTGAAACATGATTGGTCTCAGTGGGGATTATGAAACACGATGAGTGCCAAGGAACTATAGAGTGGTTTAGCAGGTAACTGAAACATGATTGGTCTCAGTGGGGATTATGAAACACGATGAGTGCCAAGGAACTATAGAGTGGTTTAGCAGGTAACTGAAACATGATTGGTCTCAGTGGGGATTATGAAACACGATGAGTGCCAAGGAACTATAGAGTGGTTTAGCAGGTAACTGAAACATGATTGGTCTCAGTGGGGATTATGAAACACGATGAGTGCCAAGGAACTTTAGAGTGGTTTAGCAGGTAACTGAAACATGATTGGTCTCAGTGGGGATTATGAAACACGATGAGTGCCAAGGAACTATAGAGTGGTTTAGCAGGTAACTGAAACATGATTGGTCTCAGTGGGGATTATGAAACACGATGAGTGCCAAGGAACTATAGAGTGGTTTAGCAGGTAACTAAAACATGATTGGTCTCAGTGGGGATTATGAAACACGATGAGTGCCAAGGAACTATAGAGTGGTTTAGCAGGTAACTAAAACATGATTGGTCTCAGTGGGGATTATGAAACACGATGAGTGCCAAGGAACTATAGTGTGGTTTAATAGGTAACTAAAACATGATTGGCCCCCAGATTGTGAGTCAGATGAATTCCAAATACCTTATTCGCCCAGGAGGCTCTTATTAGAATATTATTTGGGTGAAAAAAACAGAGTTGAAAGATAGATTTCGTGGTTTATGCTGACAGCCTGAAATGTTAATGTACGACAGATATATTTTTCCCGAATATAATTGCCGTTAATTAAGGGTGCATATAACACACGAGTGCGCATTATACGCGAATAAATAAGTCTTGTGTACATTGATCAATCGGAAGGGGTGCTAATTGGGATTGTTCACTAGCCAGTATATTAGCAAAAATTGCCATGGGCACTTATAAGGGGGGGGCGCTTATTACGTCAAATATGGTAAGCTGAGCTTGTTGTGAAGGGAAACTAACATTGGGAAAGGAAGTCCACCAGCAGTGTTAGTGTTACATTCCTTGTAACTGTTGCTGATACAAGCAATTTCACTGACATTCATATCAAAACATGGAACATGTTGATTGATCTGACAATAATTGAATGATGTTTGCAGCAACACCTGGGGGTGGGCCTGGGGGAGAACCGCCACGCCATCCATCGAGCACAGCGCTGGTATGACTCTACAGAACGAGCCCGAGGAAACGCTCTGGTAAGTTGTCAACTGTTGGACCTGTGAAAATCTGGGGTAGAGTAGGTCTTCAGCAACCCATGCTTGTTGTAAAAGGCGACCATGCTTGTCGTAAGAGGCGACTAACAGGATCAGGTGGTCATACTTTGGTAATAAACATGGTGCCAACAAGTTATTAATGTACAGAGATATTTCAATTAGCTGTGCAGTTTTGTCCAAGTTGACTTAGTGCTGTGACATCTAAATGGTAACGGGCAGTGGGGGAGCCTAGTGGTTAAAGCGTCAGCTCATCATGATGAAGACCCTGGTTCAATTCCCCACATTGGTGTGCAGCCCATTTATGGTGTTTCCCGCTGTGATGTTGCTGGTCTGTTGCTAAAATATGGTTTTAAACCACACTCGCATGGCCATCAAGTGTGAGGTATGACATTTATGAGATATGCATTACATCAGGCTTTCCTCCCACATTTAGCTGACATGCTGTAAAATAACTATAATAATGTTGAGACAAGTGAACTCACTCGTGCTGTGTATTGCTGCAGATGGTTCTGATTGAAGGTTGAGATATTCTATTGAGGAGATGGATTACAAACAATATTTTACAAATGTTGTCTTTATTCAGGGTCCTGTGATGAGTGCTGACATGACAACAAGGGAACGTCTCGATCGACCTCTGGTGCGAGTGTTCCAGCGTCACCCTGGTACACAGCTACCAGAAGCTCAACACATGATCAGGGTAGGTGGGGTAGATTGTCAGATACACTGGTACACAACACATGATCAGGATAGGTGGAGTAGATCGTCAGATACCCTGGTACACAACAGATGATCAGGGTAGGTGGGGTAGATTGTCAGATACACTGGTACACAACAGATGATCAGGGTAGGTGGGGTAGATTGTCAGATACCCTGGCACACAACAGATGATCAGGGTAGATGGGGTAGATTGTCAGATACCCTGGTACACAACACATGATCAGGGTAGGTGGGGTAGATTGTCAGATACCCTGGCACACAACAGATGATCAGGGTAGGTGGGGTAGATTGTCAGATACCCTGGTACACAACAGATGATTAGGGTAGGTGGGGTAGATTGTCAGATACACTGGTACACAACAGATGATCAGGGTAGGTGGGGTAGATTGTCAGATACCCTGGCACACAACAGATGATCAGGGTAGATGGGGTAGATTGTCAGATACCCTGGTACACAACACATGATCAGGGTAGGTGGGGTAGATTGTCAGATACCCTGGCACACAACAGATGATCAGGATAGGTGGGGTAGATTGTCAGATACCCTGGTACACAACAGATGATCAGGGTAGGTGGGGTAGATTGTCAGATACACTGGTACACAACAGATGATCAGGGTAGATGGGGTAGATTGTCAGATACCCTGGTACACAACACATGATCAGGGTAGGTGGGGTAGATTGTCAGATACCCTGGCACACAACAGGTGATCAGGATAGGTGGGGTAGATTGTCAGATACCCTGGTACACAACACATGATCAGGGTAGGTGGGGTAGATTGTCAGATACACTGGTACACAACAGATGATCAGGGTAGATGTGGTAGATTGTCAGATACACTGGTACACAACAGATGATCAGGGTAGATGGGGTAGATTGTCAGATACCCTTGCACACAACAGATGATCAGGGTAGGTGGGGTAGATTGTCAGATACCCTGGCACACAACAGATGATCAGGGTAGGTGGGGTAGATTGTCAGATACCCTGGCACACAACAGATGATCAGGGTAGGTGGGGTAGATTGTCAGATACCCTGGCACACAACAGATGATCAGGGTAGGTGGGGTAGATTGTCAGATACACTGGTACACAACACATGATCAGGGTAGGTGGGGTAGATTGTCAGATACCCTGGCACACAACAGATGATCAGGGTAGGTGGGGTAGATTGTTAGATACCCTGGCACACAACAGATGATCAGGGTAGGTGGGGTAGATTGTCAGATACCCTGGCACACAACAGATGATCAGGGTAGGTGGGGTAGATTGTCAGATACCCTGGCACACAACAGATGATCAGGGTAGGTGGGGTAGATTGTCAGATACCCTGGTACACAACACATGATCAGGGTAGGTGGGGTAGATTGTCAGATACACTGGCACACAACAGATGATCAGGGTAGGTGGGGTAGATTGTCAGATACACTGGTACACAACACATGATCAGGGTAGATGGGGTAGATTGTCAGATACCCTGGCACACAACAGATGATCAGGGTAGGTGGGGTAGATTGTTAGATACCCTGGCACACAACAGATGATCAGGGTAGGTGGGGTAGATTGTCAGATACCCTGGCACACAACAGATGATCAGGGTAGGTGGGGTAGATTGTCAGATACCCTGGCACACAACAGATGATCAGGGTAGGTGGGGTAGATTGTCAGATACCCTGGTACACAACACATGATCAGGGTAGGTGGGGTAGATTGTCAGATACACTGGCACACAACAGATGATCAGGGTAGGTGGGGTAGATTGTCAGATACACTGGTACACAACACATGATCAGGGTAGGTGGGGTAGATTGTCAGATACCCTGGCACACAACAGATGATCAGGGTAGGTGGGGTAGATTGTCAGATACCCTGGCACACAACAGATGATCAGGGTAGGTGGGGTAGATTGTCAGATACCCTGGTACACAACACATGATCAGGGTAGGTGGGGTAGATTGTCAGATACACTGGCACACAACAGATGATCAGGGTAGGTGGGGTAGATTGTCAGATACACTGGTACACAACACATGATCAGGGTAGGTGGGGTAGATTGTCAGATACCCTGGCACACAACAGATGATCAGGGTAGGTGGGGTAGATTGTCAGATACCCTGGCACACAACAGATGATCAGGTTAGGTGGGGTAGATTGTCAGATGCCCTGGCACACAACAGATGATCAGGTAGGTGGGGTAGATTGTCAGATACCCTGGCACACAACACATGATCAGGGTAGGTGGGGTAGATTGTCAGATACACTGGTACACAACACATGATCAGGGTAGGTGGGGTAGATTGTCAGATACCCTGGCACACAACACATGATCAGGGTAGGTGGGGTAGATTGTCAGATACCCTGGCACAAAACAGATGATCAGGTAGGTGGGGTAGATTGTCAGATACCCTGGCACACAACAGATGATCAGGGTAGGTGGGGTAGATTGTCAGATACACTGGTACACAACACATGATCAGGGTAGGTGGGGTAGATTGTCAGAAACCCTGGCACACAACACATGATCAGGGTAGGTGGGGTAGATTGTCAGATACCCTGGTACACTACAGATGATCAGGGTAGGTAGGGTAGATTGTCAGATACCCTGGTACAAAACACATGATCAGGATAGGTGGGGTAGATTGTCAGATACCCTGGTACACTACAGATGATCAGGGTAGGTAGGGTAGATTGTCAGATACCCTGGTACACAACAGACGATCAGGGTAGGTGGGGTAGATTGTCAGATGACATACCCATATATACCTTCATTCATTGTGATAGATATAACATCTCTGTCTATGGTGAATATTGCTGTACCTCTTGAGAAATGTAGATGCAAATGAAAATACTCAACATTGATATTTTGTATAAATATTTCCACAATTGTTGTCAGGGCGGAGACGGTCTGCTCCAGTCTCTCACTGCCACAAGTCGGAACATTGGCCTGCTGCGTCTCTCCCACCTCAAGCTCCGTGATGACATCCGCAGCAAGAGCGCAGCCGCTGATATCGACAGCAGCATCATGCGCATGAGGCGTCGTCGAGGGGATCATCGCTGGACCCTTGGGTCTGCCTTTTAAGGGCAAATGATACGGAACAGGGGTTCAAATAGAAAAATAAATACCACAGTATTATTTTCACCATATTATATCAATACTACAGAATGCACAACAGCAACTGCACCTATTGCTGTCAGTATTATAAAGTATTCATCGGGCATAAGTATTCACTGCTGAAAGTATTAAGAACATTGCTGTTTTGACAATAACTGTTCAAAGGGGGGTAACTCTTGAACGGTAACTGTTTCCTTTGAATGTATAATTTTTTGTGTTTCTTGTTGAATGGAAATATTTTTGATACAAACAGTTCAAAAGACATTTTATCTAAACTGTACATTATTTATTTTGCTTATCAAACAACAACATTTTCCAGCTTGTGCGTAGTTTCAAAATTGAAACGGATTGTAATGATTATCAGTATTTCTATATTAATGTGTATTATGCTCATCACATATTTGTACAGTCTAGGTTTTGTGTTATATGATATAGCAGATGTCTTTCAATTGGTGTGAGAGTGTTTTAAGCAGTATTAGAATATAAAATTGTAAATAATTTTCATGTGAATATATTGTGTACATCTCTACAGGTTTTTCTAAAGGTTTCCAACTATACATCTAGATCCTGCTATGTGGTTATCTGTTGATTTCATTGTTTGTTGTCTGTTCTCGGTATTTCGTTATCAAAGCTTTATTTCAGCTAAGACCATCATGAAACAAATAAGAGCAAGAACAGTTTTAGCAACTTTTCCGTTATTTTTTTAACATTGAGAAACTTTTATGTTGAGTTCTGAACCTGTGTTTAGGATTTCACACAAGCAAGGTTCCATCAGTCATGATAGTTTGTTGTCAATTCTGATTAATGTTTATATACCATAAACGTTGAGAATTGAAAGATATTGAATTGTCAGAGTTAATAAGCTCATAACGGAAAGAAAAATTACCCTTCATTATGTCAGTGTTTGATTCATGCAACTTCACTTGCTGATTTGTGCAAATCTTCTCCTATCAGTTTCAAATAATTCCTTTTGGGATTTCAGAAGTTGATCGTTACTCATTGATTTGTGTTCAAGAGGTAACAGTTTCGTGAGGGAGAAGATTTACATATGACACTACCAAAAGCTATTGTCCCAATTGTAATGCGATAACTTTTGATTCAGTTGGTTTTAAAACCTGGAGTTGTGTTATAGAATGTTATATCAGTATTTGATTTGACCTGTGATATTGTTACAGTTTTATACATACATTAACTGGAATGCAGTGTTTGCCTGTGGAAATATTTACGTGTACCAACATACCCAGTTACAGTGGATACCGATGTTCAAATTGAGCTACCTTTGTACTACATGGTTAGACGTTCATTAGAGACATTTAAATGCTGCTCAGTTCAGGTCTTAAATAAAGACTCTTAAAATTGTATCCTTGTTGACTGTTTTCTGTGTGTTTCATACAAGAATCTTTCACCTCCTGAATGTGGGATTCTGGGGTAACATAGATCCTAGTACCTCTTGCTTTTCCCCTGGGGATTCACAGGCAGAAGAGATCCCCAGTAGCTCATGCTTGGATTCAAAGGCAGAATAGATCCCCAGTAGCTCATGCTTGGATTCACAGGCAGAATAGATCCTCAAGCATGGAGCATCTGCTGGAGAGAGGAAGGTCAGGGTCTGATCCCCGGCCACCTAATACCAAATGATGTTAAAAGATGGTACTCCTTGTTACCCTTCCTGGAGCTCAGTATTAACAATGATTACTTTTTTGTTTGTTTGTTTGTTGTTAAACGCCGCACTCAGCAATATTCCAGCTATATGACGGCGGTCTGTAAATAATCGAGTCTGGACCAGACAATCCAGTGATTAATATCATGAGCATAGATCCACGCAATTGGGATCGATGACATGCATCAACCAAGTCAGCGAGCCTGACTACCCGATCCTGTTAGTCGCCTTTTACGGCATGCATGGGTTGCTGAAGACCTATTCTACCCCGGAATCTTCATGGGTCTAACAATGATTACTAGTGGCATGTTAAGGAATTTAAGATATGTATTGTCAGCAGTGTGCAACAGTTCTAACCAGTGTTAAATAAACTACTATTGTTGCTACTGAAGTTATGGTTACTATGAGCTGGTCCCTGTTGACATGGAAGGGAAACTTCTCAACCTGGCCCCATCAGCCAGGTGGCCAAAGGGAGACAACTTCGCTCTTCAAGATATTTCAAACCTTGATCAGTCCTCAATGCAATCTTAGAGCTTGACCATAAGATTTATATGATGAGAATGTGGAGCCTTTATCTCTAGGTGTATCACTCCTGTTTTGCATTTCAATGATGTTGTTATAACCCTGTATTAACTATTTGAACTCCTATTTGGTCGTCTGTGGATCAGCAGCCATCCTTTTGTCTTTGATTTAAACATCACTTGGTTATTATTTGCTGTATGGCGTTTTGTTCTCTTTGTGCGCTTAATTACCAGTATGTATTCACATCTCACTACCCTGGTGACACAAGTAATGCAGTCAGGGTACGATCCTGACCCACAACTAAATCATCAGGTATCCGACCATCAATTCCATTTATCTGCCTAAAAAATGTATGAAAGAATAGGTTGCTGGATATGCATTCTAACCAGGATTAAGTGTAGAGGAGTAATTATAACATTAGAAGTATTATTAAATAAATAAGTGTTCTATATTTTGACAGCAGTTATTCCACTTCCATCCTTCAACACCTGCAGACACTGACACAGCGTTGTGATAATATGATGGGTATCTTAGTCTTTGGGGGTTAATGCTGCTTGGGAACATTGGGTCAAAGTGGTGCAGGTCATAAACAAACATGGGGGTGGCATATGGAAAGATCAGGCAAGCTGGTAGATCCAGGAACAGCCTCTTCTTTCTCTCACATCGCTAGATCAGGCAAGCTGGTAGATCCAAGAACAGCCCCTTATCTCTCTCATATAGCTAGATCAGGCAAGATGGTAGATCCAAAAACACAGCCTCTCTTTTGTTTTTACATAGCTAAATCAGGTCGGCTGGTAGAACAAAAACAACCACAGCCTCTCTCTTGTCCTTACACTGCTCGATCAAAAACAACACAAGCCTTCATCACTTTATATACATCATCTCTTTATTACTTGTAGTTTATATTATGTCTTTCATATGCCCAATTATCGAGTGCTACCTACTATTGCATGAAAGAGAATTTACACAACACAGCAGAAGTACAAGAATATCACATTGGAATTGACAACCAGTGCATATTGTCCTCTTCAGATTCGAGGGAGGCTGTTTTTTACCTACAGTGCCAATGACATCTTCCACATTATACACCATTTTGTGAACAAGGCCGTTGAACAGATGAACTTAATGCTTTAATTACTCAGGGATAACTATGTCAAAAATTCACTGTAACAGGTAGCTTTGCTGGAGGATTGTGACAATAACCTGTTACATTGTTAATAATATCTGATGGAATTATCATAAAGGATTTAAAACATTAAAAATATTTTGGGTGAAATAAAAGATAGTTTTGGCATTTTTGCCTTAATATGACAAAGTTATTGTTACAATGTATCAACCGGCCTTGTCACTCTGATTTCATGTTCTTTGTTTGTATTGTATCTTGAAGCAACAACAGTTTACGTCTTACAATCTCATTTCTCAATGTTGATCAAAAATAGAATTTTCTAATCACATCACAAAAGCAATCTTCCTCTCTGGTATCACCCATCACTTAATAACTTAACTAGGACATATGCAAGATATATGCACAATATGCATAAAATAGTAATTTCAACCATTACCGTAAACCGTGATTATTAAAACATCTTGTGATGCAACCAGACTAGAAAAGTAGTTGTTTGGAAAACATCACCACTTAACACTGTAAAACAAACCTTACTAGTACAGATTCCTACAACATCTTATAAATTATTTCATTGTTTATAATAACCATAACAAATATATTCATGATACCACAGTTAAATTGATATTTTGCTATGATTTATTTTTGAAATGTTTTGTACATCAGAATTGACATTTAATCTCACTGTTATGAAACTGGGTTATTGAAGGACTGCAAGTACATACTCAGGTGAACACATGACTATAGAAAGAAGAAGTAATTGACTGTACTATGTTAGCAGACACAAGTATTCATATCACAAGAGATTACATAATTACTTCTCAAATGCAAGATTCAAACAATGTGCAGAGGTCTACAGTAACAAAATAAAGGGAAACAACTCTCACCTAGCCTCATCCTCACAACTGAGGCTTGCATTATCTGTAGGTGACAAATACTTCACTACTACCAACAGAAGTTAATACATGAGTAACATGAATAATAAGATCAAAACAATTTGGATAGATAGTGTTTCATGACCAGAACGTGACGCATTTGGAAATGAAATCATCAGTATTAAGCTGTGCTATACACCTCCAGTGCTACAGATTGATACCTGCAAGAAACCCATGATGCTAATTTGTGAGCAACACAGGCTTCCTGGGCCTGATGGTGGTGTTTTCAATATGAAGCTCCATCTGCATCAACATGGACCACAATGTCATCGTCACACAAACTGATCCTAGCAACACTGACATTATAAACAGATTGGTGGTATTTGGGGGAAGTTTGGGATGTGGTTTCCAGAAATAATGGAACAACTGTCAGTGAGTGGTGAATTAGGCTTGAAGCCGACCAGTTATTTCACTCATATCAATGTCAGCTTAACGTGGAGGAGAGCCCAAAGTGATACAGGTTGTAGACATTCAACACTTTGATGAAACCAAGGAGTGGCTATGGAGCTGACAAACCAAGCATCACAATCAAGGATCGTTACTGAGATGGAATTTAAAATGGCTAATGGGCACAAGTCGTCACAACAAATGACAGCCTAAGATTACTGGGCCTCTCATACTTCGAATGGCTACAAGAGCAAGAGTACATAGTAATATCCATTAATCACAACTACCACTTTGTGAAACTCTACCTGATAACATTATCAAACAGTTCACCTTAGGACTGCCAAGTGTAGGGGCAACATGAACATGAACACCCAAATAACAAACAGCTTTTCTGTCACTGGTATGCCATGACAATGATTATGTATTAAAGATTAAACTGAGTGAATTGGGTTTAATGCCGATTTAAACAGTATCCAGTTTTATCACCATGTGACAGCTTTATGTGGGAGGAAAGCCCAAAGTGATGCAGGTCTCAGACGTTTACCACTTTGGTGAAGCCCACGAGCACAGGTATGGTGCTGACAAACCTAGAATCATAAAAGGGGCGAACCTGGATTCGAAACCACAATCATAGCTTTCTGGCGTGTTCAAAGGACATAACTCTGCACAGTGAATTGCAGCACCTCAGATGATTGGACACCCTGTGCCCCCTCACGTTTATATATTTCAGACTTCATGTCATCTTCCAGTGGGAAGAACTGGCATTTAACAATTTCCAAGTGGGCTTGTGATCCTGCACACTGGCATGATCACTCGTCCTGGGTGACTGTAGAATAAGTGCCCTCACAGGTGCCCCTTAAACAAACACCTTGTGAATTTGTTTCCAGTAAAGATTACTGGATGTCCTTTTAACAAAAATATACATGAAAAGTTGACTGACGAAAGTAACGACAATAAATACTAAAGCGTCAGAGATCATTATAACCTTCTAAGCAGCATGTTCATCGTGATAAAGGTAAAATATCTAATTCAATAGAAGCATCTTGGGTACACAGATATACTACTCCAAAGAAGTTAAAGAACACCTAATTCATTAATATTACTTGTTATTCTGTCATGCCATGAAACATGTAATATGAAGAATTGGGTGTTCTTTAGCTTCTTTAAAGTAGCATATTTTTTAAAATCCAAATTGTTTCATTTTTGTCCAATTTAGATATCATCAGTGTCATGACTACATATATTTGCCCCTTCTATCACTGATCATTCTGAAAGTTCACCTCTATGAAATATGTGATGGACACTGTACAATTTACATAGATTTAAAACTAAGCATGTGCCTGTCTAGTGGGTTGCGTAAGGTAAGCGTCACAATAAGCTATATACAACTGCTATACATTGCTCAGTCCCCAATAATAAATATGAAACAATACATAATGATCTTGAGCATAACAAAAACAAACTTTACACTATAGCACAATTGGGTTGTCTACCAACCCTGCACTCAGCAGAGGTAAACAACGTTGTATCTACACACACAACAACCACTGACCCGACAAACACACAAACTTAGGAACAGAAGATGGAGAGGAGGCTAATGCTTCATCCTAGAGTAATGAACAATTTGTAACTTCTCCAGAGCAGGGTCTTCAAAGTACTACCAATATATTTCAACTGATAAACATGATATTTAAGTTTGTTCTGAGTTTTAGGCTAATCCAAGAATAAACACACTGGACCTGTCTTTCAGAAAAATAAATAAAACCAACTAATTATCAATTGGCATGGACTGAAGAGTAGCGGAATCTTCCCTTTAGGTTTATTTATTCAATAACGTAGATACTCCAGTATTTTCGGTTCACAGAAAATTCATAACTGATTTTCATGCTATATTAAAAAATTAATGTCATTTTGAACAATCATCAGGAATATAACAAAATATAAATAAATCAAATGATAAGCATTATGGTTACTGAAATGAAAATGCTCATGACCATCACTCAAGCAATCTCACCTTTCAAATTAGAATTCATAATTTGTGAGATATTGATGTATAAACTTCAAGTGTATGTTATAGACTTAGGTTACCTGTGTCCATGTCTGACAACAGTAAGAGATAGATGAACATAAAGAGAAGTGACATCAGTCCTCACACATCCGATCAGCTGCAAGCATTCAAAGAACTGACCAATCAGCTACAACATCAACTTGTAATAGCTGGCAAATGAGCTCCATTCAAACTAGTACTGACCAATCAGATTGCAGTTATGAACATAGCAAATTACCCAGCTTGAATACTTGAATGATCTCTGATTGGCTGGAACAAACTGGTGTAAGAGCCAATTGGATGTGTGAAGACGTTGATGATGCTGGGGTCACATCCTGTGATGGTGATGATGACGTGGAGGATGAACGCTGTCGGCAACTGTCAGCTATTGATATCGACACTGCATCGTGCGTACTGCTGTATGCATACAAGCAGTGGACAGTTGGCGCTGGAATGACTGAATTGAAGGCAGAACCAATGCTTGTTAAGATGCCAGCCTGGCTTGTTAACTAGCAGGCGCAGCCCTCTTTGTTGGGGGTCTGATCCGTATTGAGGGCGTTGCGTGGTGTGGCTGGCTTATGCTGTACTCCGGACTCAGCCGCATTCAGGTCCAGGCTGAAATAATCACAATCATTACGATGGCTGTACTGGTACACAGTGTTTCAATATCATTGGTCCCTTGAGAGAAAGGTCATAATACTGTACATTATGAAACATGTCATGTGAGGGGAATCATATTCCCTCAGCAAATAGGGGACTCACCAAAATACTGGAGTGAGTGAGTGAGTGAGTGAGTGAGTGAGTGAGTGAGTGAGTGAGTGAGTGAGTGAGTGAGTGAGTGAGTGAGTGAGTGAGTGAGTGAGTGAGTGAGTGAGTGAGTGAGTGAGTGAGTGAGTGAGAGGTTTTACTCTGCTTTTAGCAATATTCCAGCAATATCGAGGAGAGAGGACACCAGAAATGGGCTTCACGCATTGTACCCATCTCGGGTATGGAAGCTTGGTCTCCAGCGAGCAAACGCCTGAACCAACCACTAAGCTACCCCACCGTCCCCACGAATCATGTTTGGGAGCAGTTCAAAAGTTGATGTTGTATATAAATCTTAAATATTCCTTAACTTTGGGGATGGAGTGGGACATGGTTTAACAGGTCTGTAGCTTTCCATCCAACAAAATCAATCACCATATAACAGCTCTGTTTGTCACATTTTTTTCCTTGAATGGCATTTCCATCTCAGGCAGAGAACTGCTAAATCATTGCGAGGTAGGATTCGTTCGACGTATTACATCCTAAAAGTGTCTTTCATTTGAACAGTATTTCAGTTATATCACAGTGTTATATCAGTTGGATGTTGGTGGAAAGCCCAAAGTGATGCAGGTCTTAAACATTACTACTTTCAACGAGCACGGGTATCAATAGTGCCCTAGACGCAATATCTCTTTCACTTGGACCATTCAGGTTTAATGTCAAGAAGTTATTTTGGTCATATAACTTTTCATTCTGCTAGGTGATAAACTTGCAAGACAACTAAATGATCATGATTCTGGAAGTGATTAGATGTAGACCCTTTTAAAATATATCTTAAAGCAAATCACAGTTGTAATGTATAGTGGGAGAGGATGAGAGAGTCAAAGGACTCACCTGCCATCTTGTATATTCTGGTAGATTTTCTTTGCTGTGTCTAAGAAAGCATCCTCTACATTCTCTCCACTGGAAGGCAAGCAATATTCTCAATATAATACAGAATGCAAGACTTTAAGAGTTTTATCACTTGAAACCATCAGTGTCAGTAAAATTGTAGCATGAATGAATAGGTCACATGACTTGAAGATCAAGTAATGTAAAATTCATATTCTGTTAATATAACAAGGACGTCCTTGAGTTTTCATGCATTCTTAATGTAAGGACCCCTTTATTATAAGGGTTATGACAATGAAACCCCAAATTTCATTTGTAAATTCTAACAATGTGAATACTAACGTTTTAGCACTGCACTCAAGAAACATCAAGCCATTTTCTTCTGCAAACTGTTTGGCTTCCTCGTATGTAACGTCTCGCTGGGCTTCAAGGTCGCACTTGTTGCCGATCAGGAAAATAACCTACAACAGCACATGAACTTTATGTACACCTCTCAAAAGGCAACATGCCATTAAAATAAGCACTAATATTTCACAAACTGGTTTGGGATTGGTGAAATGGCCCTAATAGGAACAATGAATAATTCCCTCTTAGAAGCAGTTACATTTTGACCTCTCTAACCATGATTCAAACCTTTTCCCAACAGGTGTTTTCAAACAAAAACAAGAAATTCTGCTGTTTTCCTTTGAACCCTGACAAGAATGACATGTGATAAAACTTCAAATCCCCATGACAAGAAAGTTTGGTTATTTCCCTTGTTGTGTTATAATATTTTGAGAAATGTGGCAATTTGTTTCTGCCATGAAGAGGCAGACTGCCCTCTGTCTGGACAAGGAGAACTATAAAAGTAGTTACTGTGTTTGGGTTGGTGAGGTTTCTGGCGTCCGTCAACCAACTGCTCAGGTGGTTGTAGGTGCTCCTCCTGAAACATACAACACACTCTCTTGCACATGCGGCCTTACACAGGATGCAAGCTAACTGGAACCAATAACCAGCAAATCTTGTAGGCTAAGGGAAGAAACTCTTCTCAGTGAATTACAGAACTTGCATCACTGGGCAACGGTCGACGGTTTGGATATGACGATCTTGCTTAGAACGAAGGACAACAACTCTACCTGGTGATGTCGTAGACCATGAGTGCCCCGGCCGCCCCCCTGTAGTAGCTGCGAGTGACTGCTCGGAACCTCTCCTGCCCAGCCGTGTCCCAGATCTGCAGCTTGATCTTCTGGCCAGCAACCTCAATAATTCTGACAACAATATGGTTCACATAGATCAACACCATGATGACATTGTTCTGCAACAATTTGAATTAAGGAATATTAATTTAAATTGACCAAATTTCATACTTTCAGTACAATCTCAAAATAACAAACCAGCTATTTGCTACAGCTGACACACATACATAGATTTACCAGTGCTGTGATAGATACAGGGGCTACATAATAACCAATAACCAACTTGAATTGTTTGTAATTTAGGTGATAATGAAATGTGGATGTAATTTTCAAGTCATCTTTTGGGTCATTTGGATCTGCTGGCCTATTTAAAAAATTGAACAATTATAACAAACTTGAAACAAAGGTCAACAAATGAGGTCTGTACCAAAGACTCTTGAGCCTACCAGCCCTGAATGTCTTTTTGAGTCATTTCTGTAACACTTAGAGCTAATGTATGGACTAGAACCATTTGCTCTTGCTATATAGGAAGACATTTTCTAGACTTGGACTTGAAACTAAAGTCACAAACTGCAAAAATTACAATGCACCAACAATACTCTCTGAATATGATTCATGCATCCAGGTTTAGTAAAATCTAAATATTTTTTACATTTGTATACTTGTCTTGCATTACTCCTTAATGCATTTACTGCTTTCTTTTGACAGTAAAATGAAGCTGCATGAGGTCAAGCTGAAAAGAAATTATTCCCATCTGTTGTGCGGAAGACCCACCACACGGCAACCACGATAATGCTGATGTCACATATCTGCAGCTTGAGCGTAACATCTCAAGACACCCTGGGGAGGCAACTCTGCGACTGGTGGGCCACTTAAGACATAGTAATGCAGGATAAGTATACAAACGTAAAAAAAACATTTAGATTTTACAAAATGTTCAACTTATCCTGCAATACTCCTCAATGTATCTGACGGAAATGGAGACGGGCATACAGTGTTCCCTTGCCCTTCATAAACTCAAGTTGACCAATGACACGATGTTTTCCCCATCTAAAGAAATGTTATCAGCTGATCACTGGTAGCACTTAACACCGGAAATGCCAGTCAACAAATCCAAACTAAAGTTCGCATTTTAATCCCATTATTATACTATTTGGTCATAAAAACGAGTTCATTGTATATCTGGACTTAGATCTATGTTCATTCATTTTATTAAAAACATCATTCAAATTTGTTTACATTACTCGGCGAAATTGTGTGTGAAGTGATCAGTAGATCGCACAACTCACAGATATTTACAGCAACCATGGTCAGATTACTGCTTTTGACGCCTTGAATTGAACTTCAGTAGCAAGATAATGGATACATACATGTATATCATAAATGCCATACTTTGACACATGAAAAAGTCATATTTAAGGCAGTTTGTACTTTCAGATGTGATCCTCAAGAAAGCCTTGTTAAAAAGTCCAGATGACCATCACAGCATTCTTGGGTTGAACAGAAACATAACCATTCCGAGCTAATGCTTGCCGCATGATCTGGGGTGCAAAAAGAACACAAGAGAATTTGAAAGGCCAGCTCTGGACTCCGAAGAAATGTCCTTTGGGGTTGGCGAGACATGGTGGAGGCGACCGCTCGGATCTTGTGGAGGACATGCTTACCAAGCCAATGCTCGTAGCATAGAGACCTTCCTAACTGTCGTGCGAAACACTGATAGCTCTGGACAACTGGAAAATTTCAATGGTGTGCTTGGATTGGTGACAACCAGGGGGTCAGAACTGTTTACACCTCTGATGCCTTCCAAGGCCATTGCCCTCAGGTAATGACTTACAAAGAGTGTGTTGGATCTCCAGGAACATCCTGCGCGGGAACTTCAGGCAAGAATTGAGGGGACACTGAAGTGGGAAATTGTCCTTCCTAAAGTAGAGGACCCTTGAACGCCGGCGATAAAAATAATATCATAAATTCTTCGTCCAATGCCAAGACCAGATCCTTCAGCATTGAATACAGCGGAATGGAGGTAGGCTAGGACCAAATTAGTGCTTCGTTTATCCATGCCCAGGCCAAGTGATGGAGTTGTGACGGTCAAACAGTCAAGAATCAAGTAAGGGACTTGGTTACGTCTGAGATGAGTGTCCTTCTCGGGGGAAGATTCGCTGTACTGGCACAAAAGGACCTTCAGATGAGTCCGAGTGGAAGCCATATGATCTGCACACATTATTAGAGGCGCTACGCAGGACGGGTCCATGTTGGGCGCCTGTAACGGCTGAGTCTGCGCCTGCTGGAAGGGCATCTATGTAGATGGGAAACCTGGTGGCAGATCGAATCCCTGACGCACCGGTGCTAGAGCAGGTGATGTGCAGATTCTGAAGGCAGCACAGATGTAGGGATCAACTGAGGCGCCATCGGCTGCTGGAACATGGACTGCGTAAACGTCTGCATCCAGGACAGATCAATGTGTGATGCCTGAGGCGGCGCTTGCTGGAAAGACATCTCTGTAGATGGATAACCAGTTAGAGGTCCGAATCCCTGAGGCGCCAGCACCAGAGGAGGCGATATGCAACTGCTCAGAGGTGCTGACAATAGGTGATGAGCTTGGGTAGCTGTCATCTAGGAGGGGTGGCGCCTGGGTGGTTATGGAAGTGTAGATAGGTGCTGTGCCTGTGTAGTCGTTGGTGCCTGAAGAGGTTCAGGCGTCATCGGAGCTCGGAGCTCTGTCGTCAGCACGTGAAGAGATGAAGGAGAGGTCACGCCCATCAATTAAGGTGACAGTATTCTTCGATACCCCCTGGTACTTCTTGAAAGGCTGCAGGAGAGAAGGAAGAGCAGGGGCTGCACTTAGCAGCTAATGCACATGGTAGCGATGCAATCTAAACACAAGGGGTGAGGATCCCTGCCAGATTTGCTATCGTGGCACTTAATACAACAGGGTATAAATCTGCACTTTAAGCAGAGGTTGTAATCATAATGTGTACAAAACAACAAAGAGATATACAGGCAAATTTAAACCCAAACTCAACAGTTAAAGGGTAAAATTACCCTGTATAAACATGATAAAAGTGAAAAAAGAACACTTTAATATCCACAACTAAAATAGGTTCATACAATATAAAAGGAATTACCAAGCAATAAGCAAAATTAAATGACATGAGACCGTGACCACATGGAGAAATCAAAATGACAATATTTGGAACAATATACGTGATATTTACCATTGTTTACTGTGACTAATAGCCATTTTCAAGCGCAATATATTAATTCAATGGCACAAATACATGGTAAGAAATGAAGTCACAAGCCATAGGAAGTAGAATATAAAACAATGCAAAGGATGTCAGTAGACAGCTTAAACAAGGTCAAACATGACTAGTAAGTCAGTAATGTGCAGATATGTTACATCAGCACTTCTGTGGTTACGTGGGCGCTGTGGTGGGTCTGCCACACAACAGGTTGGAACAATTTTTTTTCCAGCTGGACCTCACACAGCTTTGTTTTCCTGTTAAAGAAATCAGTAAATGCATCAAAGAGTAATGTAGGATAAGTAAACATATATATGATAATACTGCAATTTCCACTTGGGAGGGTACACTCCAGAGCATCTGCTATCACCCATACCTTGTTCCAAACTCCACTCCTATTGTATGAGGGCAGTCTGCCATAACTGAAAAAAACAAAAACACAAGTTGATCACAAATATGAACTGCGCATTTTAGGGTTGTGATAAATAATTCCTGATTGCATTTCTGAATGCCCATATTTCAGTGAAGATTATTTATGTAAAGGACATTCATCCAATCTGAGTACAACATGCAGAGAGTTGTTTCCCCAATGAGCCTGTCACTGGTACTTAATCATACATAAATCGCACATAAATCCCTCACTGACTTTAATACTGGTGGTACCTACATTTCTTTTCTGTGAACTGATGGAGCAAGCAGGATTTGCCAACACCCATGTCACCAATGATGATGTATTTGAAAATATAACTGTAGTTGTACGGGCCGGCGGCCATCTTGACTACTGGTATAACCTGGAAGAAAAGACAGTGTTACCATGGTTACCTTACATCATCGCATGGAAACGGCATCCACATGTCACATGATATTTAACTTACACAGGGACTCAAGACTAGACTACCTTTATGTCAATCAATGGTTAACAGAATATATCAATGACATCGAAGTTTATTTCTTACACCATGCATGAGATACTATGGACCTTATCCATTTTGTCTGCACAGACATAACCATAGCATGCATTTCTCAGGATCATTCGGGACTCTACACCCATTTGCTGATAGTGTTTCAGATTGGTCCATATTTATGCCACATGAACATTGTTTTCCAAACTATCAAAATATCAAACTAATTATCATATTAAGGGAGAAAAGGTGGTGAGGTGATGTAAAATGGGGTTTAACGTCACATCCAAGATTATTGCACTTATATAGCGATGTGCATGTACGTGTGTGTTTGTGTGGCTGCTTGTACTAGTCCGGACTGATGCTGATTTATACTAATAATAGTGCTAGCTCACTGAGATACCATGCCGCAGTTTAACATGAATACCCCACTCAGAACCAAGTATACTGACTCCGAGCCAAAAAGTCCTTGTTTTAGCCCCTTAATGCCGAGAGCCAGACAGGGTAACAACAAGTATCATCTTTTAATGTCTTTTGGTATGATGCGGGTGGGGATCAAACCCCGGACCTTCCGCTCTCCACTAGACCACGGAGGCGTCAGGGAGAAAAGGAAGAAAGAAACTGTGCAGTATGAAATGTCAAAACTATACAGAAATTCGCTGACGTCATTCTGTTTTTCAATGGTTGACATCTTTCTGTATTGTTCTCACCAGTTGCACCAGTATGCACCAGTATGACATTATATCATGTATATTGGGTCAATGACCAAATATCTAAGGTACTGTGTTCCACAGAGCAAAAAGTCTTAACACTATGATTATCATAAATCTATAACTATGATAACACACAGAAGTAACAAGAGACAAAGCACTGAGATCTCTGTGAGAAACAGGGCCTGGTACATGAACAGAATGAATTGTGGACTTCATATTTCTATGGTCCAAAATGTCCATCAGTGCATGTTGTCAGACCATCTGACTGAGCAGGTGATTGATTTCATATTAGCGAAACATTTGCAAATGTAGTAAAAAATATCAATACAGAACAAAACATTTTATGTACCATACCAACAAGATTAGCATTGATGCATCAGTGACTCATTACAGTCAACTGATAATTGATCTATACTGAGTCCTGACATATCTAATCAATGAATTAACACAGAAAATGTTTTGAGATTGACAATTGCTGACAGTAACTAAATAAACAAGATGCTATTGTACATGTTGTCCTTCTATCTCTTTATAGTATAAACACACAGAACTGATGTATGCAATAATTGTGTACTGAAATCACTGCATTTCAATCATTCAAGCAACTGACTTTGAGTGAGTGACTATGGTTTTACTCTTAGCAATATTCCTGCAATACCACGACAGGGGGCACCAGAAATGGGCTTCACACATTGTACCTATTGTGGGAATGGAACCTGGGTCTTCGGCGTGACGAGCAAAGAGTGAGTGAGTGAGTGTGTTGTGGGGAATGGAACCAGGGTCTTTGACGTGATGAGCAAACGATTTAACCACTAGGCTACCCCACTACCCTTCAACTGACTTTAAAGAATGACAGTGTCTGTATTTCTGCAGAGTAACTTACCTAATATGATATAGAAAGATGAATAAATTCTTCAAGCAATCAACACAGCATGTGCAAGTTGAGGCAAATGGAGGACTTGATTTTACCCTTCTGAAATATAAAGAAAGTACATTTTATCATTATATTGAGCGTCTTATTGTACAAAGTTAGTGATTGAAATGAGTGGGAGTCTTGGGGTCCTTGAGGTCCTTATGGTATTTAATCTAGGGGTCCCCCTAAATCTTGAACTTTTAACCTTAGGGTTAGTTTTGAATACTGCAGTTATCATGTCTATTTCGGGGTACTACAAGACATCTTAACATAAATCAGCTCATCTTATCCTTGTTGTAACACATGGCGCCCTGTTTGTCATCATGGCCATAGTGTCTGCTATTACTAGCCTGCCTCAGTTCTTCAGACTGGGATCATTGTCATTGCAGGAATTTATCTATGATTCCAAACAAAGTGTCCTTGGCAGGCAAATTGAGAACAAAATATTATTCCATTAATCTTTTTAAGATATTTCATCTTCCTGTGGCAAGTGCGTTAAATGACAATGAAAGTCCAGTTTCCACCTTTCCAAACTAGGCTGGAATTTTGTGCATAGATTGTGACGCCATCAGTGGCTTTTATGAGTTATGTCCCCTCTATTGACCAATCAGACACCACCTCTCATATCACTTGTGTTTGCTTCGAACAAAATGGCAGCACCCAGTCATGATGATCTGATCGATAGTCAAGATCTCTTATGTAATAAAACAGGTCTTACCACGAATAGTGCATCAAATCACTTGAGCACCTAGATCAGAAACATGAAAAGATTTGGAAAATATCTACTGATGCCCAGTTGACTGTAATCAGTTGCAAATCTTGCAGTCAACGGAAATCTGCGTGTTGAAATCCATGCTGTTTACGAACTGGATGTTTAGTCTGTTACCAAATTTTGATTGGACTATGCACTGGTTTTGGTAACTGTCAACCATGGTCAACTGTGTGAGTGTGCAGCTAAACTTGTCAATGATTGTATCATGTATACTACCTATATACTACTGAACATGCTGGAAAAAACAACACAATTATCATACATGTGCTGTGTAGAGCATAACATATGCAAACAGTGAATTTTGATTATTTTTCCCCAAGTAATGACATTACCTTGAGCACAAAACACCAGAAAAGGGATGTCAACAAATCTGCAATGATGTATGAACAATAATCCTTTATTATTACACTATCTGGTCATAAGTATGCATTGTTTATGTGGCTTTCTGTTTGTAATCTATTATCATGATTATATTAATTTTATTCAAAATTTCATTCATTTTAACAAATGTTATATTTGGGATAACACTTTCTTAGTAAAGTACAGATTCTCGTTCTATTTTGGGGTTGAGTCCCGTCTGGGATTCGAACCCACACTTGCCAGAGTGAGGCACCTAATCGCCAGCACACAAAGTCAGCGATCTAACCCACTCAGCCACTGAGGCTTCCACAAAAATGAAAGTCTGACAACTGGTAGTCTAGATCACGTACTGTGAGTACCCCTCCGACAAGTGTAAATTGGCATGGCTCCCATGGCCGAAAGCTATAAATACACAATGCCATATAGAAAGTGGTCAAATGTAACAAATGTTAAATTTGGGATAACACTTTCTTAGTATTAAAAGTACAGATTCTCACTTTTTGGGGGTTGAGTCCCGTCCGGGATTCGAACCCACACTTGCCAGAGTGAGGTACCTAATCGCCAGCACACAAAGTCAGCGATCTAACCCACTCAGCCACCGAGGCGGGACTCAACCCGAAAAAATTACGAGAATCTGTACTTTACTAAGAAAGTGTTATCCCAAATATAACATTTGTTACATTTGACCACTTTCATTCATTATAGTTCCAATTGTGTGAATTGATTGGCAGATCGCACCAACTCACAGTTATTTACAGTTACCATGATCAGCTTACTGCTATTGATCCAGAAAATGAGTCTTAGTTCAGAGAATACATATATATCATAAATGCCTTACTTTGACAGTCATATTAGTTGTTGTTTGATTTTTATGTTTCAACATTGTTTTCTTGATTGTGAAAACCTAAAACTGTGATTCATCAAACTATTCCATAAGTCACAAGTGCTACGTTTATGATTACTTAAAAAAAAAGAAGAAGTAAAAACAGCACTGAAAATAACAAGATGTCAATAGTGATTTTTTATCACAATTTTCATTGACCAAGTTTGTTATCTCATGTTCATTCCCCTGTAATGATACGATGTAGTTCTTAACTACGCACAATATAAGAAATACCACATTCCACACAAGAAAATATGGTATGCAAATACCTTTACAGTTTAAGACATACAAATACTTAATGAAAATACTGAATAAATAAAAATAAAGCTGGATACAAATAGATACATTGCTTTGTCATTTGCCAAAACATAACTTTCTATATTCCATCAACAAAAAAACATCTTATTCACAACTAGGGCAGGGTGTGTGCCTAGAAATGTTCTGTAACGTCTGCAATTAACAAAACTGCATAATGACATCATATGCTTTTGCTGTTTCATTTAATGTCTAATACCAGTCAGCAACACCTAAGCAACGTCACGACAGCCTGCAAATAGTTAGAGAATAGACCAGATAAAACAGTGATTGATATAATCAGCAACGCCCCATCTGTTGAGGCATGCTGAGACAAGTTCAGACAACCAAGTCACAGAGAATGACCACACGACCCATAAAGTCACCTTTTACGTCAACATTAGGGATCTATTCTACCCTAGACTTCCCATGGGGAGTAAGTGTTATGATGTGAGCCTGTTAATGAGGTGGTAATCATATCAAATAAGCCCATGTAATAAGAAGAGTGCTTAGACAATCACTGTAATTGGTCATTCTGAAAGGAAAGATGAAACATCCCTTCTGTATCATATGTACACTAACTACAATCTGTCTAATTAGCATGCCACAGTGGTTCTGTGCTTATTGCAACCTGTGTCAATGGTTCTTAGCTTTTCGCATATATGTCAAAATTACAATACCATCTTGTCGATACAACAGAAAATTGGTTTTAAATCAAACATGTTAGATACAATAGGGGTAGACACTATTGGCCATTTCCAACAAGTCCTAGGCTCATTTCACTTTTAATTTTCAGACTGGATGCTTATGTCAAATCACCAGATATGGGTGATAAACAACTAGTCACTCTAGATTTTCACTAGCATGCTTACTCTTAAAACCATAGACAAGATGACTTTGTTGTCAGAAATCAAGCAGTAGAAAGCAGACTTAGTTTAAATTTAAACTGTTTCAATAATAGTAACATACCCTTTCTATACTGCTGTGCTGACTGTGAAAAGATCTGTAACATGCACAGGATAATACAGATTGGCACGTAAATTTTCAGGCTTAGTACCAGGCGCTTATAACATGTTTATGGATTACTAACAGGTCAGTCTAGAAGTTGGTCAGGTGTGCTTAATGGAGCAGGGCGTTTATGATGATTATGGTAGGTCAGTTTTAGAGGTGAGGCAAACACAACAGAATTCATTAGCCCTGTACAGAGACACCACCCATGACAGTTTCAATAGCAGTTGTTTACCAGTTTGCATGGCAGTATAAGATTGGCATGGCCTCCAAAACTGCACTTTTGAAACCTGCAGTTTCTTGTTAACCAAACTAACCTACAAAGCATTCCTTTGAGTCTTTGTAATTTTTTATGATTCTGTCAGAGGTGAAATGATCTTATAAGGTATTCTACTGGTTCAACATTAATTTGTTTCATGATTATCATGTCAGCATGGTCAATGGAGTGGAATTGTGTTTGACAACAAATATGATGGAAACATTTGAACACAGTAAGTTAACTCATAACACAAATAATAATTATTACATCTTTCAAACATGTATCAATGGTGATTTAATTATGAATCAGCATGAATAAGTATGATAGATGAAGGTACTTTATCTGGCAGACTTCAACAATATGCAAAAGACATTCTGACATGTATACATGAGCATAAATCTCTTAGAACATGTTGCAGATCATTTTATTCGAAAGGGAAAAATATTACAAGCTAATAGCAGTTGAAGCCAATAATGGGCAATATGGTATTATTCTTTAAGCAATAGTTTTGTTAATGGAATCTCTAACAGTCAGGGGCAATAGCCACTGATGTCTGAAGATTGTCCATTAAAAATATTTGAGGCCTTTGAGACTAAATCAAACAGTGTTTGGATTGTGATTTACAGTACATTTATTATTTTATTTAGATAACTATGGTTAAGATGGATAAGGAAGAGGCAGAAAATACAATTCTAAACATTTCATGGACTTGCCTAGTTCATAAGACAGGTAGCATTAACTTACAGGTCTACACAGGTAATTTTTATCCACACACATACAAAATAACTCATATCAATTATCATTATAAACCGATATATCATTATCATACTTCTGAGTGTATATACATATTGAGATTCATTTTCAAATGGATGTATCAAGACAACTGACACTTAGTAACACACAGCTGTCATTCCAACAAGGTCAAGGGAGATAAGGCTGTATACTACAGCTAGGTTTTAATTGCAGCAAGGGCAACACCCCCTAACGTGTGAAACAGTAGACTCATCAAGAAACGGCACTGGGCCCCTAAATAATAAAACCAATAATATATTTTTAACAGTGTAAATAACATAAAGTGTTGTATTCTAATAAATGTGAAAGAGATCAAAGTTCCATGTCACCACTGGACTTCCATTCTAATTATGCTTGTGACTCACGAGATCTGCCGAAGCAGACGCCACGCTATTTCCATCGTGTCACAAAACAAACAGTTGTCGAAAACATTTCAATCAGGGTCATCAAAATGATACTCGATAGTTTACTCGTATATCCCTTCATCCCAACTCGGACACATATAAACGTAGTAGAAATCCAGAGAGTAGACAGCTCAGTATGTGTACTTACTGAAACTTTACTTCCTATTTACATCAACAAACACGAATTTTGCACCACCTCTCCATCTGCCTTGCCCAAATACAAGGACACAAACCAAATGATTAAGTGTTATACCACCCACCCGCAAGTCTTATATGTCGGTATACATTCTAACTGCGTCATTCCATTGGGTAAACTTACGTAAAATGGAGAAAAAAGACAAGTAATGCTTCAGTTTCGATCTCTCTTTCCTTAAGATATCACAAAATGGCGTCGGGCAATGTTTTCGATGGGTTTACCATGCCATCTAGCGGCAGACAACTCAAGGGAAGTAACTCTGTCAGGTAGTGCATTTCTAATGCGGAGGAGCCTGTTCCACACTGTAACATAGGCTAACGATAGTCATAGTACCAAGATCGCTTTGAGGAACAGGACCAGCTGGCTAACTGCTAAATCAGTCACAATCAAATCTGTATATCGTCTCATGTGATTTGAAATGAAGAAATAATACGGAACATGAATATGCGATTCGAAAGCTGGCCATAGCTTTGCTTTTCAAAACAAAGTAGATCTTTTACACATAATTCCATTCTCAAGTTCCATTTCTGTGTATATGCTCGGTCGGTATGTCAAAAGATTTACAGAGCCTTATCCCGAAAAAGAGATAAATACTTTTCAGCTTCAAATGCAGTTGGACAATACCCCTTATTGACATTACCTCACAACAGATTTATCTAAGAAACGTATCGACGTATATGTATGTATGTATGTATGTGTGTGTGTGTGTGTGTGTGTGTGTGTGTGTACAGGGAGTCTTTATAACAGCACTTCATTCATTCCGTCACATCATGTTTTTAGTTTCATTTTTTTGCACACGCACAAACACACACACACACACACACACACACACACACACACACACACACACACACACACACACACACACACACCTGATAATATTTCACCTGAGCATTGCTTATTTTATGGTGTCTGTATGTTAAAGTCAATGTGCAGAATTACTACAATTTTTACTTAGGCAATTTATTAAACGCCTAAATTTACATATTTTTTTTTACAAATTGACCATTTATTTTATCATGCAAACACATTCCAAATATGTTGATGTTTAATTTCACCACCCAGTGACTGAAAATGATAGGATTTAAAGAAAAGGAAAGTCAAAGTACATTTCCATATTTTTTTATTTCTACTATAGTGTTGTTTTAAGCCCATTTGAATGTCTTAATAATTTTTAGTCAATATGTTGAATAAATAGACATATTTTTCAGTCAGTTTGTAAAATGACTGAAATATTTAGACATTTTATAAATTGCCTGAGTGAATCACATTTTACACATTGATTGTAACATATACGAGCCTACAAACGAAAAAGGCTTGAGAAAGCAAAGACTTAGTGTTGTCTGTCGGACATCCAAGAACTTCCCAACGAAAACGTAGAGGAACAAGAATGATTCTGTTCAATGCTGCAGCAAATGAGAATGAAAACAAAATGCAAATATCGTAATTACAATCGACCAAAGTTGTATGTATTATATTAAGCGTATCCGTGAATATCCAAATTAAGAAAATATCCCATACGTCTGCAGCTGAACAAAGAAACTTGTTCGATGTCACGTGTCTTTGTAACAATCAAATATATTAATATATATATATATATATAGCGTTTCTGGAATTATAACTCGTGTTCATTTCTCTTGAGTCACGTAAGTTTGTTTCAGGTGTTTCACAGAGGTGTCAAGTGTCATGGGTCAGCTGAGATAACACACGTGACAACTCTTTTCACGATTCCACGGTCCTATTAAAACAAAATCCACTGAGTTAGATAACAATGAGCCATCAATCAACGTATTGTCGGCTAATTCTTTAAACAAAGTATAAGGAACTTCACGTCCTGAGATGGGTGAATTCCGTCTGCTCCAGTAAACGTACACATGTAAACGACCCGTGAAGATCCGGGGTAGAATAGGTCTTCAGCAACCCATGCTTGCCTTAAAAAGGCGACTATGCTTGTCGTAAGAGGCGACTAACGGGATCGGGTGGTCAGTCTCGCTGACTTGGTTGATGCATGTCATAGATCCCAATTGCGTGGATCGATGCTCATGATGTCAATCACTGGATTGTCTGGTCCAGACTCGATTATTTACAGACCGCCGTCAAATAGCTGGAATATTGCTGAGTGCGGCGTTAAACGAACAAACAAAAAAAACACATGTAAACACTTACTTTTGACAAATCCACTGTGCAAGATATCAGTGAGTTATCAATCAACGTATATCGTTTAATCTTTTGATGGATGTCTTTTTTGTAACTCTACTGATCATTCCTCTCTTGCTGAGCTGTCACGTGCAGTTTACATAACATTCATTTCACCCAACTTCAAACCAGGATTTAGATTCAATTATTACCCCAAAAGAAATGCCAAATGGGAACATGGGTCACGTAATCTGTGTGGTGCCACCACTAATTACACCTGTAATAAATCCATTAACTGAGATTCAAGTGAATGACTTTACAGGTGTAGCTTATACCAGGAAACACACCCGTGAAGATCCGGGGTAGAATAGGTCTTCAGCTACCCATGCGCACCCCCCCACCCCCCACCCACCCCACCCACCCCCCCCCACACACACCCTGTATCCGCCCATGTAGCTGGAGTGCGGCGTTAAACAACAAACAAACAAACAAATCAGGAAACATGGATAACAACAAGGGAGTAGCTATCGTATTATCCACGCAATCCGAAATCCGAAAATGTTTTACTACAAGATACTTTTTTTTTCATTATTAAACTATAACCATGAGGGATATTTCCAAATAACGACATCCCATGAGCTTCCACCGTCCTGTTTGTTTAGGTTAAAGAAAATTAATCAACATGAGCCCTTTGTAACATCGAAATCGTAGTGATTGTAACATCGAAATCGTAGTGACGGGTAACCAATTGGTGTTCAGTCAGAAATGAGTATAGATATCGATTGATTTACGCTGTTCATACAGACGGTAGCCCAGTCTCTTGTCACGCCCGGTCGAGGTTACCGAGCAAATCGACACACAGAAGCTTGTGAGCCCGAGCGGGCAGTGTTAGACAGCAGGAAATACGCCAGAGATTACTTACCCTTTAATTCCGTAGCTAAGGTTGTTGTTTGCAATGAGGCAATGACTGTCGTTCGTGTGCAGTCATTCCAAGAATATATTAGCTCATATGCTATGCTAACAAAAAAGTGTGGATAAACCCTCTATCTGACGAACCTGGGCGTGACGAGCGAACGCTTCAATCACTAGGCTACCCCACCGCTGCTAATAATGAGAGACATTGTATGTATGAAATATATCTCTGTGTGGATGTTCTCCTTAATTTAGGCTATATTACATAATGTAACTGGTTGCACCATGACATGTGTCAAACATGGTCCACATCACCCGAACGTGGTTAAGAGAGCGTCTCAATGTCACTGTACAAATGAATCACATGGGCATTAGCCACGTGTCAGCAGAGACCATAAACCCTTAAAATAAACTAGAAAACTTCAAGGCCCTAGGCGTATTCCTAATCAAAACAGATCTAATTAAGCACATCTAAAAACTCATTAATCTACCAATCCAAAATCCAATAAACATACAAACACCCACCTCACCCGGCTCCCTTAGTTCCCTCCTCCACCCACTTCGGCATTCATTCCAAATTTAAAAATTCCAAAAATTCAATATAACCAACCCCTAAATGCCCCCTCTTGGGTTGCACACACCACTTTCACCCTTTTCGCAATACACGAAATGGCCCGGCCAGGCCCGTGTGCGAAATACGCTACAGTCGGAGAGCGCACGTTAAATCTCCTATATCAGTCAGTCAGTCAGTCAGCCAGTCACGTGTGAGTAGCAGGAAGCAATAAACAATGACGACACGTGACACAATGGACATAGATCGAGTATAGACAGTAGAACGGGGTTGAGTCAGGTCCTGTGTGTAGGGGGATAGCCAGGGGCATGTAGCACATGTCAGAGGTCCGTGTACAGTACGTACAGTTTTGACGTTACCGAGGGGAACATAACTCATAAAAACTCACGCCTCCATAACCAGCCCCGATTACCTCTCTGAGTTAGGTACTCTGATTGCGTTAAGTGAAAACAAACTGAATGATGAGACAAGATTGCCTCGGATTGTTCTGGGCCCCATTTGGATTTTATTTGTTTTATTTCGTAGATAAATATTTGTAAATAAGATAACTTTTTTTTCTGGGACTAAATCTCAGTCTTCTTCTCCTCCACAAGTTGCTAATGGACACGAGACGTTCGGCATCTTCTTTGCGACGGACCGCCTCCGTGGTCTAGTGAATAGAGCGTCTGCCCGGAGAGACAATCTTTGTCTTATTCTCTCAGTTCCACTGTGCAGACACACCTGGCTATATAAAGACGTGTCTGGCGTCCCGCGTCGAGATGTTGCTGAAAATTTGCTAAAACAAAACTCACTCACTCTAATAGTAAACCCCTGTTGTCAAAAAACACATGACGATCTAGGAACTCGTTTAAACAACATGAAGCATATCTGTACTTCTCTTACCCTCCACATGAATGTCGGATTCTGATTGCTGAGACCCCTTCTACTGATGTCAATGTCGCCTGCTTAAGGTACATTTTCCTATGTTCCCCGCTCGAATTGCCGAACTGTTGGCATTACATTCCCAACATACGAACCGCAATTTTGTATCTCGAATTAAGGATGTTAGACGCCATTTTCCGGATAGTTACTATATGGACATCATATTTTGTAAATAAAGCAAATATATCTAATTTGAAAATACCGTGATACATATCATTTCGATTTTTTTTTCAAATGACCAAGACAAGCATTATAAGTCAGCGCAAGAGTTAAATTATTAATTTTCATACAAAGAAACAACAGAAAAGTAGCTAATGTTTTTGTCATCAAAATTATTTCTTACTTCAGTGGCATACTAATATTGCACACGGAACACAGCAGGGTCCAGATTACACGCACCAGGTAAAGTCCAGTTATTCTTTTTCATGCCTTCCATAAAATATTATGTCCCCGAGGAAACAAACATGGATTGTGGTCTTTGAAACCTTATGCAGACGGGTGGTGAGATTTTCACGCATGGGGTTGTCGCATCGTAGTAACAGATTTTATTTTAATGAGATGTGTTCTGCGATGGAATTTGGATGGTGGATTGTCAATCCTGTGTTCTGGTGTGGAAAGGCTCTATGTTGTTGTATGTGCGATGACCGCCATGGTGGTTCCAGAGCTGACACTGCTCCAGGATGGTTGTGTGAC